TATCTCTCCACAAGTACAGTTTAGTGTTCTGCCCACGTTAATCTGCCATTCCTGGGGAAAGCCAATGATGTTGGTTTATGGCACCAAAGAAGTTTTCTTAACATCCTTGCACAGTTTTTAAACTTTAAAACACTCATTTAAATTGGAGTGGCAATTATGTGCTAGATGGTGTCCTAGGCATTGGAGGTGACTTAGGATCCCAGTATTGTGTAGACAGATTTGTAAACCAATAACTTCAGAACAATGCTCTATATGTATGTAGGAACTTAGTGGAAATACTTAACTGCCAAGGTGTGTGTGTGTGTGTGTGGGCAGGGGAAGCATCACAAAAGAAGTAACATATAGCCTGAAGTAGGAGTCTCTCTCATAGAAAAGGAAGGCAAAGACGTTCCAGCCAAAGGGAACAGCATGTGCAAAGTTTAAAGTACAGAACATCGCAGAGAACAGTGATATTATGTATAGTGGTAAATTAACCGCCTGGAATTAAGTTCCTAACATTCAGTGTTCAAACAATGCTCTGGTAGACTATCCTAACATTAAAGTGCACAGATTTCTCATTTCTCAGTAATGCTACTGTACTAGATAGAGATTGAGTCCCCGAAGATAGTGACCAGCATTATTTCCTTCACAGCAGTGGGGGAGCTCTAAGCTATGTCTAATGATAGATTGTAGGGAATTCTTCAGAGTGGACTTTTCGTAATTACAACGGAAGGAATCCATCTGTTTATCAGGAGAGTATGATAATTGGATTGTGCTTTTGAAAAATGACTCAGAGACAGCGTTGTGTAAGATGAGTGTCACCGTCTGAAGGCAGGGACATCAGTTAGCATGTTGATGAACAGAATGAATGAAGGACAGTAAGAATTTCAGTGAGGATCATGACAGCCGAGAGGTTTAGGCTCTGGCTACAAGAGAAACAATCTTTTAGAAAGATTTGAAAGCAAAAGGATTTTCTTTCCTCCACAGCTACTTTAATTTTTTTAAGTAACAGAATGTATTTTAATTCTGTTATCCTTGGAACAAACCTAATTTGTTTCGCACAGTGGTCATTTTTGTTGCCGTGGATCTGAAACAGGAATGCATAGTGCACCTGCTGTCAGCTTGTTACCTCAGTTTGAATAAATGCACCCAGTGGAATTTATAGATTAAGTAGATGTCATACCCACAACGTACTGAAATTCTGTGTTTTAGAAGTTTAGGTTATTTGACCTATGGCTTGACAGCACTGGAACTTTACCTTTCTTCCTTTTGTGCTCTGCAGATTTCAAAGCACGTTTAATTGTTTGAACCACTTTGGTTTTCCCATCAGCCCTATGGGTCAGAAGATTGTTAATCCCCATATCAAAACGATGAAACTAAGGCTCAGAACAGTGAAATGACTAAAGTCACATATCTAGAAATTGTTTTCTTTTTATTCTGAAAACAAGTACAAGTCCACAATTTCAATAACATATAGTATCTATAATGATTGTTAGTCGAAGATTGATTAGTTACTGGTGCTAACTTTACAAAGTGTAGAAACTATGGCATACTGGATTCAGAAAGACCATATAATACTGAAATTACCTGTTTACTGCCTGTCTCTTCTATTAGACTATGAACTTCTCCAGGTTAGAGACTGTGTTCACCTCACGAGGGGACGGGCATAGCAGAGACAGTGCGTGTTTACTGAAGTTCCATGGAATAATACTCTTTACCAGTGAACAGCTGTATGACATTAGTTGACTTACTATAATTTCTCAGTTGTTTGTGGAATGCAAAATGGGATTACATTTAGCTAATTGACAGGATTATAATAAATCAGAAGTGAAATGAGGTAATCCATCTAGCACAATGTCTAGCACATTGAAGTCACTCATTAAATGTTAACCATAGGTCCGTTTTTTAAATTTATTTTTCATTAGTTGAATTGTGATATAATTGAAGCAGCAGTCATATTTAAACCAT